TTTCTAGAGAGTCGCCAAATAATTGAAATAATGGACCCATGGGCATGGCGATCATTCTAGGAAAATGACATTCCTTTCAACTGAAATTTGTTCTTGAAGGTCCCTTGGAGGTCGAAATGTGTGGAGCATTTCTGTTTGTAAAATGTGGTATCTTCATTGCTGTCTGTCTGGCGAATTTTGCTACAGGTAAGCAATAGAGAAGTGTATTTTAAGAACCGGAATGTAAGCAGACAATTAAGGTATGTCCGGTTGTGGCTATTTGGGAAGGATTTTCTACATTCACTGTAAACGATTGCTCATTTTAAGCGTTCTTATTAGGTGCTTGTTTCAGGATACTAAATAGAGGATATTACAGGAGCGCGTGAAGATAYGGATTTAATTTTATCTTCGAGTGTTGAAAAGATATAATTATATATGAAAACAAATAATGTTTTAAAATAGCTTTTATTTACCTCCAATATATAGAGATACCACGAATGTTTTATTTTCAYTAGTGWAAATAATCAAGTTTACGTAATGGAGAAATAAAGTTATTTTATAGATAAATATTCGTGCCAGGCCCTAGGCCGTGGCACAAGGTATAAAATTCAACGACGCGTATAATTTTTTTTTCGTGCAATGTCTGAGATGTTTGGCTTCGGGATCTCCCGATTGCCCTCCGATCTCAATTCTTTGAGATTCGAGGAGAGCACTTTTGTTCTTCCAAAACATTCATTTGTGTAAGAGCATATATTTAGGACATTGGTTTGTGTAAGAGCATATATTAGGACATTGGTTTAGGTCATCAAGGGTAACATAAACCGATACTTCGTAGCTGAGTGAAGCCGCAACGTGGCTATCTGATTCTGAGCTGCATAGCCTAAATTTTCCAATTTGATGAGAGATTCTGTCTCTTCTGGATTAAAGAAAACAATGCTATTCACGCAGGAGTATTCCTTGATGACGATTGAAGCGATCATGGTTTTGTAGAGCGGGATAAGSTTCTTGTTAAGATCGCTGTCACGGCGTCAACTATCACCGACACTTTGCAAACTGTCTGATTTTGATACTGTGGTACACTTGACCTTTAAATTACTAGAATTACTAGAATTAGTCTATCCTTTTTTTTACTTTGT